ACACACACACACACACACACACACACACACACACACACACACAGAGCAAGGAGTTCAGCAGACCATTTGGAGTTTAGACAAGAAGTTTTTCATATCTTAAAGCAGACAGGAGCCACTAAAAGAGTTTGGCAAAGGAGTAAAACAGTCAACTTTTTAAGAAAAAAACTAATTCCTTCTGTGAGGAAAAAGATGGATTGGAGACAGGCCAAAGAGAGGGTATCCATTGTCATTTTCCAGGCGAAAGGTGATGCAAGCTTAGATCCTCAGTCATGGGGAAACGTTCTAATGTTACAGCCCCCTTTTATTTATTTATGTTTGGATAGCTTTACGGAAACACAACTGGAATTTCCTTTTTAAAAAATTACTTAAATTTGTTTACTTGTTATAAAGATGATATACAGAGGGGTTACAGTTATATGTCAGTTAGAGAGTACATTTCCTGGGGCTGGGAAGGTGGCTCCATGGTAGAGTCCTTGCCTTGTATGCATGAGTACCTGGGTTTGATTTCTCAGCACCACGTAGGCAGAAAAATCCGGAAGTGGCTTTGTAGCTCAAGTGGTAGAACACTAGCCTTGAGCTGAAGAGCTGAGAGACAGCGCCCAGGCCCAGAGTTCAGGCCACAACCGACCGGAAAAAAAAAAAGTACATTTCCTTTTGGAAATGTACTTCCTCATTCTCTCCCTGTTTCCCTCCCATTCCTCACCCACAAGTTGTAGAGTTCATTTTCAAAATAGTGTCCAGTGAGTACCTGCTGCATTTGTTCACCCTTTGTACCTCTATTTCTGTACCTTTACTTACATTCCTGAGGGTATATAAATGAACAAACAGAACAAGAGGAAAGAAAGAAAGAGTGAATGAATGAATGAATAAAAGAGAAAGAAAGAAGGAACAGCAAAAGAAAAAAAATCTTGTTTCCATTTCCTGGAGTTCATTTCAATAAATGTTATTTTGGGATTTTTGTTGTTGTTTTTGTTTTGTTTTGTTTGAACTCTGGGCCTGAGCGCTGTCCCTCAGCTCTTCAGCTCAAGGCGAGCGCTCTGCCACTTGAGCTACAGCGCCACTTCCGGTTTTCTGGTGGTTTATTGGAGATTGGATTCTCACAGTCTCTCCTGCCTGGGCTGGCTTTGAACCGCGATCCTCAGATCTCAGCCTCCTGAGTAGCTAGGACTACAGGCGTGAGCCACTGGCGCCCAGCAATAAATGTTATTTTGTATGATCAGAGGCACAGAGGTATTGTACCTTCGTGTTCCTCTACTCAGAGTAGCCTCCTTTGGCCTCACTGTATGTGAATGCCTAGATACCTGTATAAGTTATTACCTCCTAGTGCATGTTAGATCTAGCTTTCGTACATTGAAACTTCCTTTTAAATGTCAACTGAACTATTCCCAATGTGTTTGCTGAAGGATAATGAGTACAGTGAAGTTAGGTCGGGTAAGCTAGTTATCTAGAGGACCTAAGATCTAGGTTCATGTATGTCATAATGCAAAGATGAAGCAAATTCCTCCTATGGTGTGAATGTCTGTTCTTCTCCCAGAGTTAGCATCCTTAAAGGAGAATCCTCATTTTACCAAAATTTGAAAACAAAACTAAGAAATACAATTAACTGTATTTGCCACGTTGCCAAGTCTTGATCTGAATGCCTGTCATGTGTACCCTTTTCTTAAGCTTGGATTGAATCCTTTACTGAGGCAACCCATTTCTACTGGGTTCCATTTTCTTCGTTCAATGTGATTTAAAAAAAAATGAGCTCAAAAACTACAAGAGGGCCCGGCGCTGGTGGCTCATGCCTGTAATCCTAGCTACTCAGGAGGCTGAGATCTGAGGATCGCAGTTCAAAGCCAGCCCAGGCAGGAGAGACCGTGAGACTCCTATCTCCAATAAACCACCAGAAAACCGGAAGTGGGGCTGTAGCTCAAGTGGTAGACCGCTCGCCTTGAGCTGAAGAGCTGAGGGACAGCGCCCAGGCCCAGAGTTCAAGCCCCACAACCGACAAAAAAAAAAAAAAAAAAACTACAAGAGGAACTAGAGATGTGACTCACCAGCCCGGAATGGAAAAAGCCAAGTGCAAACACAAGACACTGATGATTTCAAGCCCCAGTACAAAAAAAAATGTCGTTTTCTGTAGCAGGAATCTGCACCTGATCAAACTTGAATCAGATTCCATTAGTGTCATATGGCTTACAGGTGAGTACTTGATATCTTAACTCCAGTTTCTTCATCAACTTAATGGGTCTATGGTGGTGGCACCACACTAGCTTGCTGGCAACTTGAATGAAATGTAGGAGCTGGGATATAGCCAACAAAATGTACAGTGGCACATAGTAGGGTTTTTCCTTAAGAGAGACATTGGCTCATGCCTGTAATCTTAGCTACTCAAGAGACTGAGATCTGAGGATTGTGATTTGAAGCCAACCAGGCAGAAAAGTTCATGTTGATTCTTAAGTCCAATTAATCACTAAAAAGCTGGAAGTAGAACTGTGGCTCAAATGGTAGAGCACTATCCTTGAGCAAAAAAGCTCAGGGGTTAGTGTCTAGACCCAAGTTCAGCACAGAAAGAGTGTGTGTGTGTGTGTGAGAGAGAGAGAGAGAAAGAGAGAGAATATGCATGATACTATAAATTTTAGAGAGATGACTAAGAAAGGTTGGTAGAGGAAAAAGCCTAGCACATTCTGATTCACAGAAAGAATTCATGTCTAACACCTCTGTGAGGTATATCAATTATAAATACTATTTTCAAACGTTAATACAAATGGTATTTAAAGAAAACAAACCTCTATCTAACTCAGAGAAACATGCTCATAATGTTGGAACTTAATGCAATAGCAAGATTGCCAAAAGTATGTAGAATTCCCCCTGCCTTGGTCCCACCCAAGGCTCTCATAAGAAGTGGTAGTGTCTAAGGAGAGCTGACATCAGGAAATCCCCAACTCATTCTTCATCCACACTCCTCTCTGGTTTCAGCTTGCTTTTCCTGGAACTGTGGGATTTGTTTGTCCTACCCAACCATCATCAGTCTATCAAGAGTAGGGAGGTAGGGAGGGGTGTGTGTGTGTGTGTGTGTGTGTGTGTGTGTGTGTGTGTGTGCATTTTGCTATGGCAGGAAAGGAGGTTAGACCAATATTTTTGAAGATAGTTCATCAGAAAAAGAAAAAGAAAATTTTTAAATTTTTTTTCATTGTGAAAATACTGTACAGAGGGGTTACAGTTCCATGAGCAAGGTAATGAGTACATTTCTTGAGGTCCAAATGTGGCTGTTGAGTCTGGTACCCTGGACTCTGTGTAAGCAGATTGATTCATGTGCTGCCACAGAAAATGTAAGGGGAGGAGCTGGGAAGGTGGCTCAGGGGTAGAGCGCTTGCCTTGCATGCATGAGGCCCTGGGTTCGATTCCTTAGCACCACATAAGCAAAAAGAAAAAAGCCGGAAGTGGCGCTGTGGCTCAAGTGGTAGAGCCCTAGCCTTGAGCTGAAGAGCTGAGGGACAGTGCCCAGGCCCAGAGTTCAGGTCCCACGACCGGACCCCCGCCCCAAAAAAAAAGAAAATGTAAGGGGAACTCAAGTCCCACTGTGCTGGTAAGGATGAGACTTCACATGTTTTCCACCCTTAGATAAAGAAGTTGTGACCACACAGAGGTGTATGGCAGGAGCGCACCGGAAATCACCCCTAAGTGACTCCCTTTGACGTGGTCAAAAGCTATCAGCTTTAGGCAGGCTTCAGGAATAAACTACAATAAACTCAGACAATGCCTGATGACTCCCATTTTGTGACTCCTCATCCTATCAGTGGTTCTATGTGATTATATTATGTCACTATCTGTAAACAAGCCATGTGTTGTTTTGGTTAAAATACTTTAAAATGAG